GTGGGCACAATCTCTGTTGTTATCTGAGAAATTATTTCTGATTTCATTTTTTCCAGATCCTCTTTTGTTGCCAGTTCAGGGAGTCCATGTGGTTGAGTATCAGATTGTTCCATCTTATTTCCCTTTGGGATTGCTGTAGGTGATCTGGAAGTCTGGTTTTGAGGCTTGTTTATGTGACTTCTTGATAGGGAAAAGTTTTAAAATAAATTTAGCAGATTAGCTATTAAAGTAGTTGTGGAGGCAAAATAGGTAGTGTATCCCTTTAAAAGCTTGCCTTAGCCCATTGCTTCTGCTGTTTGAAGTGAAGGTTATATAGCTCCTTTGATCTGTAGCTCCACTATAAATAACATCCTAGCTCTGAAGAACAAAGTGCGAAACCTTGAACAATCTTGTGATATATGTGTCTTAACTGTCATGTGTTTAGGACTGTAATCAGTGACAGAAACCACCTGTGTCCAAACATTAAACAGGAATTGGAACTTTATTTACTTAACAAAGACCACTAGGGATGAGATCATGACTGATAAAAGTATAAAAGGTGGTGGACAAAGAATGTGGAGGGGGGACTCTGACCAGACCAGTTTCTGGCATCCTGCCTTGCTAGCAAGTAAAGACCTTTGTTATTTTACCTGAATTCTGTGTCTCTGTGCATTTCTTTCCAAGATTCTGGAACATTCTCATTTCCATGGGTGTGTGTGGGGGTGCTGCTGGCACCCACAGGGCTCACCTCCTCTGCCCTAGGAGTGGTGGAATGGCGGTGGGGTGCCTCCTCCTTGGTGGTGCCTTTTGTCTATTTTTAAAGGTTTTTTTTTTTCTTTTTTTTGGTACCAGGGATTGAACTTGGGACCTTGTGCTTGAGAGGCAGGTGGCGGCACCACTGAGCTAAATCCCTGGCTTAAAAGTTGTTTTATTATTGTTGCTATTGTTGAGTTGTTGGAGTTCTTTATATAGTCTGGATATTAATTCTTTATCAGATATGTGATCTGCAAATATTTTCTCCCATTATATTATGTCTTTTCATTCTCTTGATAGACCCATTTGATGTACAAAAGTGTTAAATTTTCAATAGATCCAGTTTGACTTTTAATTTTATTGATTTATTGATTTTTTATTTTTTGGTACCAGGGATCAAACTCAGGTCCTTGCGCTTGTGAGGCAGGCGGCGGAACCACTGAGCTAAATCCCCGGCCCTTTATTTTGTTACTTGTGATTTTCAGGTCATGTCAAAGAAATCTTTGCCAAATCAAATGTCATAAAATTTTTCACCTATGTCTTCTTCCTAGACTTTAATAGTTTGAGTTCTGGTGTTTAAGTCTTTAATCCAAGAGAGAGAGAGAGAGACAGATCTAATTTAAATTTTGTATGTGGATATCCATTTTTCCTATTTGTTGAAAAGACTGTCCTTTCTCTATTGGACATTCTTTGCACTAAATCAATCGTATACATAAAGATTTACTTCTGGGCTATTTTATTCATCTTTACGTCTGTCCATATGCCTGTGAAACAGCTGTCATTTTACAAACCCAGTCCATTTATTGTCTCATGAAATTGGGGAATGAAATCATGGACACAAAAGAGGTTAAAAGGGAAGTATTTATTGGAAAACATAAGAAGAAAAATATCTCCTTTTATGTATCCAGGAGGGGTCTCTGAAAGTGGCATTCTGGGGTGTTTGTTTGAGTCTTATATAGATAAGCAGAAAGAAGGAACTTATTTAGTTATCTAGTGATCACCTATCATAACTGTCTCAGGAATTTAGAATAATTGATTGGGGTGTAGGCTTTGTAGTGCTTTGTAATGTAGAGTTTAAAGAAAATCAGTTACTCAGCTGCCCAAGTTCAAAGGAAATAAATCTCTTTTTTTTTGTACTGGGGATCGAACTCAGGTCCTTGTGCTTGCACAGCAGGCGGCGAAACCACTGAGCTAAATCCCTGCCCCTGGAAATAAAATTTAAAGGAAATTGATTACTCTGCATTTTTAAATTCCTCCAAGTGCAACCCAGAGGAGGAGAGGAGTAGTTAATTCACTTAGCATATTTTACCTAAGAAGTTTCTTTCCTGGAAGTTAGGGTTCTTATCTGCTCATTCTTATCCCAACTCTTTATCCCTTTTCCAGTGCTTGCTTTTACATTTTGAAGCTTAACTAGCTGTATAATTTGAATTAGCTCTTATCCCAGTGTTGTATGTGCTATTTTCTTTGTAACCAGCCAACTCTATCTTATTGACTCTGCCTACTTATGAGCTAACTAATTAAACTGCCCTTTACACCAGTATCAAATTATTTCGATTACTATAGCTTTGTAGTAAGTTATGAAATCAGGACTGTCTTTCAACATTGTTTTTCTTTTTAAAATATATTCTACAATCATGCACCTAGACTGCATGCATTTCTGAAAGAATTTTCAGTAGTGGCAAGCCTGAAGCTCAAAAACTTTAATACAGAAACTAAACTGTTTTCTTTCCTTGCTGTACTAAAAAGATTAAATGAAAATACTTCCTTTTTCTATCTACCCCAATTCACTGCCTAGAGAAATTAGGGAGGAGCTGATTCTGGAGTAAAGATTCCACTGGGAGAAATATGAGAAGAGGAAGACAGGTAGAAGTGAGGCAGTGTTCCTGGCCAGGGGAGAAGCTACCTATAAAAAACAAGATTGGGTGGTGAGTTATTCCTGCAAAGAAGGAAGAGGTTTATTGAAGATGGCTCCCAGAGTCTGGGAGTTGACTCCAGGAATGTTGCCAAGAATAAAGTGGCCCACTTGCTCAGGTTGGTGGAACTGGCATGAGACACATGAGAAATGTATGGATTTGGCCATTCTTTTACCAGATCCTGGTGGGTGGGAGTGCCAAACGGAAGTAGCTGGAAACCATCTCAGCTGAGGCAGTGATTATTAACAACACCCCATACGACCCTTCATTTGCATTGCCATTGCTCATCCACAGTGCCGTTTTAAGAAGAAAAAATCCTAAAAATACTTGATTTCTGGCATAATTTCCACTCCCTTCCTACTTCCTTGCTTTTTAAAAAATTGCTTCAAGTAGCAATCATCTATGCCTGCAAGTTGGAGCTTTTTACTGGAGCAGAGGAAGAGTTAAATAACAGGACCAGCCATGTCCTTAGCTCTTGCATGGGTGAGGATGAGGTATTTATTGTCATTCAGGGCATGTGACAAAGAGGGGAACAAAGTGAGACAAAGGTCCCAAGGCCTTCAGTTTCAATTTCAAGGGCCAGTGATGAAATTCTTGATCAGCCATGGCATCTAGGTCTGGGGTAGTTAGAAGAGGCAAGACAGCTATAATCAGCATGTCTTTAGGGCAGCACAAAAGGGTGGCAAGAAGAGGAGCTAGAACCGGAAGTTTACTTAGACCTGGCTTATGGGAGTTGGAGAATTAACTGACACCACACACAGCAAGAAAGCAAAGTATCAGTAAATATCACCTGCAGCCAGGAGCGATGGTGCTCCTCAGGGAAGAGAGAATGCAGCAGTCATGTAACTGAAAATGCAAGCAGTGGGTTGTTGACTGTGTGAATCTGTATACTCAGGAGGAGGTTGCCTGGGAGATGTGCTTGAAGTCCTCAGCATCTGGATGAGAAAGTCAACCTAGATAATGGATAAAATCAGCCAGATAAAGTGTAAGAGAGAGGGAAAAACAGGGTGCTGTGAAATCCCTGTAGTGTATTGGCCCTGGGAAGCAAGCTAAACAAACACCAATGCACAAGAATGGAAAGGACCTGAGAGGTGGTGAAAGGGAAATAATTTTCTCTGTGGCTAAAGCTGGACTTGCTAACAGGGAAAGATGATTTCCCTCTAACATGCCTGGGCCTGCCTGGGCCCGGCTCCCTCAAACATCTCAGGAATTTTCTTTGTTCTACTTCCCCGCCATATGCAGATAAGGTGAAACTCAAGGCTCTGTGTTAACCAATGAACCTGCTATATGTGAAAGGGCCCATATGTAAATGAAGCATTGAAACTTGTAACTTTCTAACCAATGAAATGATGTTCCTATAATCCCCCCCTTTTCCTCAGTGTAATTAACAACCCAGCTCTGGCTGAGTTAGTCACTTTGTGGAGAAATTCCAGACTGACCTTCTGGCATTAAGAATAAGTTAAGAGTAAAGCTATATACTTTGCTTCTGAGACTCCTGGGTGCATCTTCCATTCTCCTGGACTACCTACATTGAGCTGTATGCTTCAGAGCTGTAATACTAGAACTATATATACTGGCTGGCACTTTGCTGGCACAGTAGTAAAAGAATGGAAGACTGTGGAGTCATTAAATAAAAAAGGAGGGAAGAGAATTTCTAGATGTCTATGAACAACTGCCTCAGATGTCACAGAGGAACCGAGTAGCATGAGGACTGAAGTTTTTCTGTTTAATTTGGCAGTCAGGGGCTGACTGGTCATTTCTGCAGAATGAGAAAGTCACATAGCAGAGCCCTCTACATTTTCTTCAGGAGTATCACTTTTAGAAAGAGGATACATATTGCAGGGAAGATTTTTTTTTTTAAATAGGAAAGACAAGAATGCTTATAGGGTAATATGAAGAAAACAGAAAAATGTAGAGGTTAAAAATTCAGTAGGAAATAATTTGCTCAGCAAGGTCCTGGAAAATAAAGGAGAAAGCTAAATTTCATGTAAAATAATAGCCTGCCAATGAAAGTGAAGATAGGTTCCGTGAAAAA